ATTTATTTTTTATTAGCTTGATTAATTGATTAATTTTATTTTAATTGATTAATTGAGTTAATTAATTAATTAAATAATCTGACCACATAAAATCAACCTTTCCAAATAAAAACTCTTGGCACAACGCCAAGTGAAATTTTCAAAACCTGTTTCTTTTGATTAATTTCGATCCAACGCAAATTAAAATCTCGATCAACATCAAGCGCATTTCACCAGTTCAAAATTAAAACACTTAATTATTCTTAATCATCATTTCACAAAGGATGAAAAGGGATATGAACTAGAGTCTTCTATTCCTCTCCTCGATTTTTTGGATACAAGTTGCCTTACTCGACCATCCAAGCAATCATCACCCATTAAAAGCTTCTAATCTAATTCTCTTCAAACCATATTTCGTAATCAAAACTTAAGAGAACTTATTTTCGTAATAACTTGGACAAATAAGGAGGTGGTCTAGAGTCTTCTATTCCATTCCCTGGGTACTTGGATACGAGTTGCCTAACTCGACCATTCGAGTATTCGTCGTCCATCCAAGATACCTTAACAATATCCAAACATTTTTGCAATCAAGGATGAAAAGGGAGATGGTCTAGAGTCTTTCATTCTTCTCCTCAATTATTTGAATACGAGTTTCCTAACTCGACCATTCAAGCAATCGTCATCCAACAAAATATTTAACCAATCAAATCTATCTTTTTCTCGCCCTCGCCCTCGCGCGACCGAAAACCAGTTCCTTTTATACTTTATCATTTGAAGAAAACAATTAACATAAGCTAATATTAATCACAAGTTTAACTAAATGGTTCCCTTTGAATACAACAGACATGAGGAGTGCTAATACATTCCCCTTGCGTAATCGACTTCCGAACTCAAATATGGTTGCAATGACCATATTTTTTTCTCTTAAGGGTTTTATCGATATTTCCTTTTCCTTCCTTGGAATAAATAAAGTTCGGTGGCGACTCTGTTCGATATCATTTTACGCAAGCATACAAATGCTTCACGAAGGATCGTATTTTTTGAGATGCAGCAGCTGGTGACTTTGCTGGGGAATATGCTCCAAGCAAGACATATTCAAGCTTAATTTGGTAAATTTTGTGATTAAATTCTTAGCTTTGCTAATTGTTTTTTTTCATCCGCATTGTTTTATATTATGCTATAATTGTGTTTTGCTGGTACTATTGGGGGATCTCTGACTATTGGAACTTTGTGAGATAGGCTCTCTACCCGATTCTGAGGAAAACCATGAGATTAGGATGGTGGTTGTGTATTATTGGCCTGCGAGGTGTATTCCTTGTTAGGGACAATACGAAGATCCCTCCTAGAGTAGATTTTCTTTGAGATGTTATTGTCTGACGAGCCTTCGTCTCGATGATAATATTTTCAAGTTGGATCAATGACTCTAGGGACCTTTTAAGAACCTTGGAGTCGATGGTTGTGGAGTACTAGCCTGCGATATATCTTCCTTGTTACGGACGATACAAATATCTTACCTAGAAGAGATCATCTTGAGAATATTACTGTCCGACGAGGTATCGTCACGGCAGTGACGTTCTCAAGAATGATCAATGAATCTAGGAACCTACCAACTATAGAGCCTACCTATGAGGTTCCTTTAATCAAAGATATTAGTTATTTACCCTCTGTTGTGACTGACCTGAAAACACGATGTACTTGTGATCCTGAGCATTACATTGCATTTCCCTGCACATCAAAAATGACAAAAAAAATTCATGCACCGGTATTTCATCAGCCTACATACATGTCATTTCCAAAGCAAAACTGGAACAAGTAGAAGCTAACTAGACGACATCGACTCCATGCAGAAAAGATGGATTGTCTGCTTGAGGCCATGTTAAGTATGGCCAAAATGAAGAAAATGCTTAAATCAATTCTGGTGTCCAGAAAATTGTTGACCAGATTGGCTCATCGTCACTCAAGATCTCTAGGGTAATCAATCCTGAATTTGGCTTTGTTCATCCTAAGTGGGTTCTTGTTCATATTCTTGTTGTTGTACTAGTGGGTAATTTGGGAACTCAAAATCACTTTGTCGCATCTTCTCATCATGGATCTTTGTATGACGATGAAGATCCATATGATGCTTTCTTTATGCCTTAATAGATGAGGCATGCGGTTGGAACTTTTTCGAACCCTGTTATAGAGAGGCTCCGTGTTCTAGAGAAAAAGTTCAAATCTATGAAGGTTCACTCTACTCCCAACTTTGACGCTATCGACATGTGTTTGGTATTAGGGTTGGCGATCCCTAAAAACTTAAAGGTACTAGATTTTGACAAAAACAAAAGGGACAACTGTCAACGCACTCACCGAAAAATGGTAAATACACGAAAATTTATTAAGATGAAAAACAAGTTGAAGACTAAGTACACAAGAATTAAAGGTGGTGAATACCAAGTAAATGGTGATGCAGAGTATTATTGTGGAGTTAGTATTATGGTAGTAATGGAACAACACATGATAATGAGTTGATCATGTGCTATACAATAAGTAGACTATGCTTATTAGTTAATCTACATTGAATTTATTTCCATCACCAACACACATTTCATCAAACACTTAGTAGATTATGCTACACTAACTAAATATATATTCTTACCAAAATTTAAAACATAAGTTTTCAAACAAACAAAAAAAGATAAATTAATTTTGGGTAATGAAATAGATAGTTAGAATTTAGAAAAGTTATAACTAGCCATTTGAAAAGATAAAATCCATTAATTTCGTCCTTTTTTACATTAATTTCGTCCTTTTTTACATGCAATATTTATACACTTACAGGTAGCAATCTGGAGATTTCTAATAGAGATATTCAACTTAATTCTTGAATTTCAATTCTCCTAAGAGCCAAAGAGTGTATACACATTTGAAGAGACATAAATTGAAAATAAATATATAGTTTTGAAGCAAACATTGAACAATATAAAAGAATAGGAAATTAACCTTTGAAGGAGTAGTAGACAGCGACATGAGGGTTCCGAAAAGTAGGTTCTGATTCAACACTCCCATCAAGAAATTCATATAGATAATGGAGAAATTCATATCACTACTATAAAAAAACCATTTAATAGCGTTTTTTTTTTTTGCTTTTTGATAGCGCTTAAAAGCTGTGAAAAAAAATTTTAATAGCGCTTTAAAAGCGCTATTATAGTACTGATAATTAATAGCGTTTTTCTAAAAGCGCTATTATAGTACCGGTATTTAATAGCATTTTTCCAAAAGCGTTATTATAAGACACATATTAAATAACACTTTCAAACAAAGCGCTATTATAGTATTAATAATTTGCTTTGATTTTGATAGCAATTTCAAACAAAGCGCTATTATAAGACACATATTAGATAGAACTTTTCCATAAAAGTGCTATTATAGTACGTATCGTTAATAACACTCTCTCTTCAAAACGCTATTGTAGTACACTTTTGTTTTACACAAAATCATTCTTTTGGTGTGTATATATATATATATATATATATATATATATATATATATATATATATATATATATATATATATATATATATATATATATATATATATATATATATATATATATATATATATATATATATGACATTTTCATTTTACGACATTAGAATTCATAAAATAATAATGACTAAGAAGCTAAAATATTTGAAAATAAAATAATAATGACAAATGTGATACCATATATATCTATACCACTGCCATAATAAACACAGAAGGAATTGTATCTATGTATTAATTTGGCTAAGAGTACTTCAAACCAAAATATTTTATAAACACAACTAAAATATTTTGCCACTAGTTATTAATTTGGCTAAGAGTACTTCAAACCAAATTCCAAACAAAAAGTACAATCACTTAGCTAGGCATATTCTCTAAACACATAAAAAAACATCTAAAAAAACAAGAAAGGACAACAAAACAACATCAAGTAGCTAGTAACCACTTCGCGAACCAAAGCACTGCTACATCCAAAGATACAACCACTTTGCTAGCTAGCTAGGCAAAATCATTACTTCTTGTTTTCCTGTATCATAGAAAGAATATTGATTATGTATTGTACAATAATCAGAAAACAAAAACATGAAAACAAAATTTTAATATATAATTAAAAAATACTGCATTATGAAGAACATCATTTTACCTAACTAAGTTCAATGGTAACAACAGGATTCAAATGAACACCTTAAGTGAAAATGGTACAACCAATTTAAACTTTTAATATGCAAGTAATGTATTAAGTATTTATATATTGTAGGCTTTAGAAAACTCACCGAAAATATCATCCACCATATAGGTAGCCCAATCCTCTTTGACCTTAGTTAACTTATCCTTAGAGTAGCTACGACATTTGTGGTCAGGAAAGTACTTCAAATAAAAAAACATAACAATTGTATTAGAACTAAATTACATTAATTTACAAATTAATAACAATTAAAATCACGTACATTTATGGGGATCATAATTTCATTTTCCATGATGACCTCTTTCATAAATCGTATTACAAAATATCCACAGTCAATGCTATTAATTTGACGAGGACACTGCAAAAAAATATTTACATATAGACTTTAGGCACTTTAGTGTTACTATTAGCACGATAAATTTGCAATGCACTAACAAAATGAAATTAACTTCAAATGAGTAATTATTATAACTAAGAATATTTATATAAATGTTAAATTAAAAGAGCCTGTACTTACTTCTCAAAATTGGTTTTTAAATTTTGATATTTAGTTGGCTCACCATTCAACGGATCCATGTAATATATCACCTCAGCATCGAGATTGATGATAAGTAATACCCAATGTTTCCTGCAAAACAAAAAGCACATCACATTGAGAAGTAAATTTGTTAATTCCCCAAAAGGAACACACACAAAAATAACTACTTTCTCTCTCTCTCTCTCTCTCTCTCTCTCTCTCTCTCTCTCTATACATTGAAGCTTTGAATAAAGTGTTGAAAAAAACACATAACATATTCAAGGTTCATTATTCATTATGGGCTTCAAGCTCAATGTGTTACTGATACTTGCAACTTCACTTATTGCTCAACATGAAGCTTCTAATTCATATGATTATAAAGCTATCACCATTAATGGACAAAGAAAGATACTACTTTCTGGCTCCATTCATTACCCCAGAAGTACTCCTCAGGTATTTTCATCAAATGTCATTCAGGGTTGTTCTTATTTTCCATTTTTATCATTTGGGTTTTCTCAAGTTTCTACCTTTATGACAAAAAGAAAAAATATTTGTTTGTTTTGATTATTAAAATTTTGATTTTTTAAATTTGTTTTTGGTTGTTTTAGATGTGGCCAGATCTTATCCAAAAGGCTAAAGAAGGAGGATTGGATGTGATTCAAACTTATGTTTTCTGGAATGGACATGAACCTTCACCTGGCAAAGTAATTATTAACATTAGCAATGCTTGTTAATTGTTAATCTGGTTTTATTTCTAGTGTAATTTGAACTAATCAGTTTTTGTTTTTGATTATTGAAGTATTATTTTGAGGGGAACTATGATTTGGTATACTAACTGTGTTCATGTACTCACTTTATTTGTTATACTAACCACTTCAATGTTTACAGTTACTATAGCAAACAAGGATTGACCTTTCTCGTAAATTTAATAACATTTTGAATAGAAATCTCACCCTAGATTGCAAGGTGCAAGAATCATCTTATCCTTGAAGTACTCCTCATCTTTCAGAAGTATTTTTGCTATAGCATTTCCTAGATTATCCTCCCGTGATACATGTGGGGATATGAAGGAGAACTTATTTATTAATCCATTTGGACTAATAAACTTGTCATACAAATACCTAGAAATGAACAACAATAATTGGTATTAATATATTTGTCAACAATGTAAATATTAATATATTTGTCAGATTAGAGAAAATTTATAATAATAGAGGTACCTGGAAAATACAGTGATAATAGAGGCACTTAACCAATTATGATCAAGAATCTCTTTTATACTCTCTACACGTAGATACTCTAAAAACTCCTCACCAAATATACTTTCCTCCATTTTTATTTGAATTAACGATCCAACCCTCATCATCTTTTTCTCTCTCTCTGTTCTCTCTCACCAAATATAGGCACTTACCAACTGTTTTCGTACTAGACAAACCACCTTCATCATTAGTAGAAACAATATTTAACCTGTAAAAAATGTAATAGTATTATATTTGATGACATTGTTCATGCAAACTCAGACAAACATAAAACACAATATCATTCTTAAACAACATTTTATTCACTCACATTAAAGACAATTTTCAAGTGATTCCACAAATTTTCAAGTTGGCCTTTTCCTCTTCCTTGTAATTGGATTCCTACTTTTGTGTTTTCTAGATACATAAAATGGTGGGTTGATCCAAATCCCATCATTGTGATCGTTTCTCATATAAAGAATATCATCTATAATTGGTTCATCCTCAAGGGATTGTAATGTATTAAAGAAATGGTCATCCTCAACATCTATACTTTGAGTGTTTTGATCATTTATTTTGTTACTTAGAAACACAATAGACCATTTTTCATCAGCAGGATCAGTGACATAGAATACTTGGTGAGCTTGTGATGCTAAAATAAAAGGCTCGTCTTTATACCCCACTTTATTAAGATCGACCTTCATGAACCCAGGGTCAACTTGAAGGCCATTGTTGTTGTCAACCCACTTGCAACCAAACACAGGCACTTGAAAGCATGAGTAATCCAACTCCCAAATACGTTTAATGACCCCAAATTATGACAATTTGGAAAATGCGGGATTTCTGTCTTTGGAACTTGAGATATGCACAGATTCAGCTACGAGTGTGACACCGCTATTTTGCATAGTGCTTTGATGATCATGTTCTTTCGTATAAAATGTATACTTATTAATTATATAACCAGAGTACGAGTGAACATTTGAATTTGGACCATTTGCTAGCCATCTCAATCTTTCGGATATTGAAGCAGGATTTTTGGCAAATTCTGAAAAAATGTGTTCTTTTAGCCACGATATAAAACTTTGATTGTGCTCTCTTGTTAACCAATTTTCACTCCTGTTAGGATTCAAACTTTGAAGGATTTCCTTGTGCTTTTCAACATATGGCTCAACCTCATCAGCATTGTGTAGTACATACAAGTGTGCTTGCTCCAATTCGATGTCTGACATGGTGACTAGTTTACTTGCACCAATCCCTTCCCCTATTATTTTTCCAGAGTGTCGTGACATTGGAAGCCCTATGGACTCAACATTAGAGAGGTATTCATTACAAAACTCAATAGCTTCTTCAACTAAATATCGTTCAACAATGCAACCCTCTGGTCGACTTCGATTCTTCACGTACCCTTTTATTATCTTCATGTAACGCTCAATCGGGTACATCCACCTCATATAAGCTGGTCCACAATATTGTATTATGATAAGATGGACGGTGAGATGAACCATTATGTCAAAAAATGAGGGTGGAAAATACATCTCAAGCTCACATAATGTTACAATAATTTCCTTTTGTAATGTCGACAACTTCTCAGGGTCAATAACTTTGCTACAAATAACTTTGAAGAAAAACAAAATTTAGTTATGGTCCATCGCACATTTTCTGGTAAAATGGAACGTATAGCTACCGGAAGAAAGTTCTCCATTAAAACATGACAATCATGAGACCTTAAACCTTTCAATTTGAGATCTTTCATAGATACCAAACTCTTAATGTTTGATGAGTAGCCCTCTGGAACTTTAACGTTCTGAAGAACCTTACACAAGATCTTTTTCTCTTTTCTTGACAGAGTATGAGCTGCTGGAGGTAGATATGTACGCTTACCCTCCCTCTTAACCGGCCCCAATTCATTTCTTAATCCCATACTTTTCAGGTCTAACCTTGCCTTAAGGTCATCCTTAGACTTTCTTGGAAGATTGAGTAATGTACCAACGACACTTTCAAAAACATTTTTTTCAATACGCATCACATCCAGGAAATGTCTAACATACAATGACTTCAAATACGGCAATTCAAAGAAAATTGACTTTTTTTTCCATCCCCCCGTGACAAGTTCACTTGAAAAAGGCTTCCCAAAATTAGTGCTCAAAAGCTTTACCTTTTGGTATAATTGATCGCCCGTTAAAGGCACAGGAGCTCTTTTTTCTTCAGATTCACCATTAAATGCTTTTCCCCATTTTCGAAAATGATGGTTGGTATTTAAGAATCTACGGTGTCCAAGAAATACATTTTTCATACAATGATCCAACCGTATTGAATGTGTATTATCTTCACATATGGGGCATGCAAGTTTTCCTTTGACACTGTAGCCTGATAGATTCCCATATGCAGGAAAATCATTGATTGTTCCAAATAACATAGCCCTCAATTGAAAGGATTACTTTTTATACTCATCATATACCTCTACACCTGTCTCCCACATATGCTTTAAATCTTCAATTAATGGAGCCAAGTATATGTCTATATCATTTCCTGGTTGCTTGGGCCCAAAAATTAACATAGTCAACATCATGTACTTGCGCTTCATGCATAGCCATGGAGGTAGGTTATAAATCAACAAAATCATCGGCCAAGAAGTAAGTTTACTACTCTGAATACCATGAGGGTTTATTCCGTCAGTAGACAATGTGAGACGTAGGTTTCTTTCTTCCTGCCCAAAATTTGGGTAATCATGATTAATTTTTGCCCATTGAGGAGAATCCGCAGGATGTCGGAGCATTCCATCAACAACCCTTTCTTTTGCATACCATGTTAAGTTCTTTGCATCTTCCGCATTACGATACATGCGCCTAAATCTTGGTATTATCAGAAAATACCATAGCGTTTTGGCTGGAGTTGTTTCTTTCTTCTTATATCATGGGGCACTACATTTAGGACACATATTTAATGATGCATACTCATTGCGAAATAAAATGCAATCATTCGGACAAGCATGTATCTTCTCATAACTCATTCCAATAGAACATAACAACCGTTTAGCCTCATAGGTTCGACTAGGGAGCACATTATTCTTAGGCAAAATCTCATTTAACAGAGTCAACAAGTCTGTGAAACTCCTATCAGACCATCCATGACATGCTTTTAAGTTATACAATTTTAAGACCATAGACAATCTTGTAAATTTAGTACATCCTTCGTATAATGGAGTCTCTACATCACTTACTAGCCTCTCAAACATTTGAGGACAATCACGAAGATCTTCTTCAATTACATTCACAAATTCTTCAACTCGATCAAACTCATAATTTGTATCTTTTTCAAAATCATTTGATTCATCTCTCCCATTGCTCCTCTTTGTTGACTTGGTTTTTTTTTCTTTGTGCATTATCCAACATGTATAACTTTTATCAATTCCATTACATATTAAGTGATCTTTCAAAACATTTGCACTAACATCCGTATAACAACATTTTAAGCAAGGGCATATGATTTTACTAGTGTCTTCAGCATGAGCAATAGCAAACCTAACAAACTCTTGAACTCCATCTTCGTATTCTTTTGACGTTCGATTGGCAAACATCCATTTCTGATCCATATTTAACAAGTAATATATATAACTAGTTAACAATTGCTTATAACAACCAAATTAGGTTCTACCTATGAATCATACGCCCAATTTCAAGGTCTTAGTCCTATAAGGGCATATATATATATATATATATATATATATATATATATATATATATATATATATATATATATATATATATATATATATATATATATATATATATATATATATATATATATATATATATATATATATATATATATATATATATATATATATATATATATATATATATATATATATATATATATATATATATATATATATATATATATATACGGTTCAGACACCTGGAAAAAGATAGCTTCAAAAAACGGCAGAACCATACAAACAACGAAGATTTGAATAATAGAAATACTTACATTGCACACTGTCAAATAAATTACAAATGAAATATAATAAGAAAAAGGAGTTATTCTCCTTACACCAAACTCAATAGCACATCAGTTACAACATTTTGCATGAAGTGTAATGTTTTTTGAACTTTTACTAAAATGCTTTAATGCACATTTATTTACTGATTCTTTAAATAAATCTTACAAAGTTCCAATTTTAAGAAGGGAGATTAGTGACGATTATTAGGCCCATTATTATTATTTATATCAGGTGGGGGGAGATGCAAGACTGGAGAGAGTTTTATATAGAATAATGATAATGAGTATTTGAGAGGAGGACAATAACTGTTAGAGTCTTTTGGCTAAATGGATATGATTTGGGGCATAGAGTGTTAATATAAGAATAAGATAATATCGTTAATATTATCGCCTAGTATCTTAGTCTATCTTATTTAATTAGGACTAGGAGTCTTGTATCCCTATAAATAGGAGGGATTAGTATTGAATCTTTTATATCAAGCTAATATAAATCAAACCAAGTCTAGTAATAAGATTCAAAATTCCTATTGTTCTCACTCCTTTTATCTAAAATACCACAACTTCAACAGTTTCTATTATCGTTCAGTTTCCTTTA